TACACCCATCCTTACAGCAGGACGGTGGGTTCTGAGGCCAGAGGGCAGCAGACCTTAGAGATCAAGGTAAGACTCTGGCTTTCACCGAGGGAGCTGAGAGCCACTGTAGCACTAGAATCTCTAAATCTGATTTAGGTTTGTAACAGGCTCTGGCTGCTATACCTGTTGGCTTCTTTCATAGCTTACACATTTTTATACCCATTAATCTTTTTCTATTTCTTTTTTACCTTTCTCCTCTGTTAAAATGTAATAAACTCCCTAAGAGCATAAACTGTGTCTGGCTTATTTACTTATCATCACACTTAGGGCTTCAAATAGTGAATGAATTAATTAATGAATACATTCTGGACTAGGTTTCTTCCTAAATATCTTGACATCCAGCCACCTAGACCTTTGAGGTCAGAGAGTGTAGTCTTCAGAAGCAGACCAGAGTTGGCTTGGATCAAAGTCCTTCATTCCACTCTCAGTGTACTTAAGATTCTAAAAGTAATTAAGTGTTGTAAAATCCACAAGCCACCCAGAGCGCGGCTGTGCAGGGGCCGGAAACATTAATGTCTTGTGTTTTGAGCTTTGGAGATCTGATATTCAAACCTGCCACCTTCCAGCTCAGAGTCCAGAGGAGGTGGGGCTTTGAGAAAGCAGGGACTAACATCTGGAATGGTGAACTCTGGGTAGCATTCTCTCACTTTAACTAGAGGCGGCCTCCAGACTTCAGGGAGACCCTCAAGATAGAGGTCAGCAGTGAAGTCCAAGGGTAAAGGCCCAGAGAACGTGAGGTTAGGTTTGGGAGTCCAACTCCTGGAACTGTATGGCAGTGCCCCCTCACTGTCCAGCTTCATTATGAAACAGGAGGTAATCAAAGAACAAAGAATTAGGAAGGGGGTGGCCACAGCAGTGACCAAAGGGCCTTACTGAGGGTCTACACAACATAATGGGCAGGATCAGATCACAAGTATAAAATGAGAATTAACATGGTACCTACCTAAAATGAGAATTAACATGGTATCTGCCTCCAAAGTGTGCAAAGCCACAATGAGTCAATGTATGCAAGTGCCTAGCAGTGGCCTGTGTAAGACGTATTCATCGATGCCACTATGATTGCTACAGAGAGCTTACCACATGCCTGGCTCAAGGCTCTTGGCGCTCAAATTCAAATACACTGCCAGTCAGTTGATTGTAAATCAGGGCGACCCAACAGGACACAGAAGAACTGCCCCTTTGGGTTTCTGAGACTTGAAAAATCTTTACAGGAGCAGACAGCCTCACCTTTCTCCCACAGAGAAGCAAATAGGTCTGAACCACTAACCTTGCAGTTAGCAGCTCAATGCGTACCCCACTGTGCCACCAGAGGTCCTTGCCTAAGTCTCTGGAGACCCTGGAAGACGCTGGTGACTGGCTAGTTCTCCAGTCAGTAATCTACCAGGAAGACAGACAAGGGACCATGTGCAAAGTGCTTTGGATTCCTTATGGACCAGGGAATGATCACAATCCAGTGCGATATTCATTCATTCACCAAATATTCACTGAGCACCTACCATGTGCCAGACCTTTCACTAGATGCTAGAGAAACAGACGGGTCCATGCCAAGGACGCAGGAATTAGAGGTGCTTACTTGAAAAGTCAAGGCGCCCTCGTGGCACTGTGGAGTAAGTGCTGCTTGCTACCCTGGAGAACAAGGAGGCGATCTGCCCTGTAAAGACTAGCAGTTTCAGAACCCCTATAAAGGGCCGCTAGGAGTAGGATCAACTTGATGGCAGTGGCTTTTGGCGTAGATTACTTGGAAGACAGTCAAATAAACCATCATATCCATTGTGATTGGAGCCACAGGGCCTCATGGAGGGCCACCTCGGCCTTCAAGGGAGGGTGAAGATCAAATAGCAAGCACTAGCAGTGGCCCAGCAAAAGTACTGGGAAGTCAGCAGGAGCGGGGAAAACAGGGCACAGTGCTCAGGCACAGGAAACAGCACAAAAACAGCAGAATGAAGGTGGAGCGTGCAGAGAAGCAAGCAGCTGAGTTTGACCCTTAGGAGGAGGTGGAAATGTGGGGCAGGAGAGTACAGAGGCCTGACTTCCCAAAAGGTCTGAATGCCACACTAAGAAGCCTAAGTTTGCACCTGAGTGTAATGGAGTGCCACTGGGGGCTTTTCAAGTAGGCTTGTTTTCTTTCAAAAAGAGGGCTCTCCACCTGCCTGTGTGAAAATCTCAATGGAGTCTTTTGGTCCCTTCTGTGTGAAGAGATAGAGAACAGAAAGATCAGCTCTGGGCTATGATAATTTATCAACCATCTATCTTGAGCAAAATGAGCCCTGACATGTAGCGGGTTGGTATAGCAGGTTGTGTGTTGGGCTGCTAACTCTAAGGTCAGCAGTTTGAACCCATCAGCTGCACTGAGGGAGAAAGAGGAGGCTTTTCTTGTTCCCCAAAAGACTCCCAGCTTTGGAAACCCTATGGAGGGGTGCAGATAAATCTATTTTAGGGCAGCCGGGTGGGGTTGATCTTAGGCAAAAAGACCCATTCAGAAAAGGAAGCACCATCAAGGAGCGGACCCCCCCTCAGGTTTCAGAAACATAAAGCGCCAAACACACACCCAGAGAGCTCCTGCTCTTGGCTGGCCCACCGAGGCTTTGGTGCCAGCAATGGAGCTTTTTGGGGAAGTCAGCAGTCAAGGCATGCAAGATGATGACTAGAAAAAGATTAACATCCAAGCCCACAGCCAGCAGGCCAACAGACAGCACTTGTTGGGAGAGACTTTGAGGAAGTGAAACAAGCAGGGTCCGAGAAGTCCTGCACACATAGAGGTCTCTGTTTTCAGGGGAAGTAACGCCCCACCAACCAGGGTTGGCAGCCTTCCTCAAGCACAGCACCCCACCTGACACCCACCCCCCAGCATCAACTGGCCTGGGCTAGACACTGATCACAACAGCAGGCTCTGTGTTGGGCACATTGTACAAACACCCTCACTTAACCCCCAACAGCTACCAGTGGGGTGGGGGCCCAGGATTATTTTAGCATGAAAAAATAAGGTCTAAGTCTACATCACACGTGCAATGAGCAGCTGAAATGAGGATGGCACCCAGGGCCACGGGACACAAGCCAACCAATGTGAAAGATGGGATTCTGTGCCTCATGGCAGGGTTTAAGTGATCAGGAGAGTCTAGTGGGCAGGGAATTGGATGCTTGGCACTCTGCTCATATTCCTACCACCTGGCAAATCGCTTCATCTCCAACCCTCTCTTGGAAGGAAAGGATAAAATGTCAATATTAAGTTTCTGGGAATTCAATGAAGTTAGGGGAACAGCTCCTGGAGGCTAAAAAAAACCAAAAAAAACCCCCAAAGGCACTATAGTAATATTTATATTACAACTTTGTTCAGAAGCTTAAGGTGGAATTCTTTGCAGGCTCAGCAAGGTTTATACCACCCAGGCCTGGAAAGGGAGACAGCAGGCCTTTCTCCTGCACTGCTGGGAAAACAGGTAGAACTGAAGTAAGTGAATGACTACAAATGGATAAAAGCTAAGACTCAGACTCAGAGCCTCGTGCTCTGGTCCCCAACCACCTCTTTATCTCCCAAGCCAGAAGCCATGGGACTGGCACATTTTCCAAAGAGGTACAGCCCTTTAGCCAGAAAACATTCTTCTACAACCTAGGGCCAAAGGATCCTGTAAAGGTCCACATGGCTGCTCTCTCTCTATTCTGAGAGGCGGGCTGCTCAACCACCCATAAGAGAAGTTCCTAATTTTCTTAAATTAGTTCGTTCCCCGGGTAGGCGGTTTTATGTCTCACAGTTCTTAAACTGTCAGGGAAAACTTCCACTCTTGCCCTGCAAGGTGTAGGACTCATCCTAAGGTGAGTGGATCAGGGGCAGAAAAGCACCTCCCATGACAGGTCGGGTGAGAAGCAAGAAGGCGACATCTACGCATGTTGTTGTCACGGTGATCCAAAATAAATGAAATGGCAGCTGACAGTATCAAGCTGCCCCAGCACCCAGCCCTGCTCCGACCTCTCTTCAAAGGCCCCTGAAAGCCTAGATGGGAGTTTTGGTACTACCTCTGTGCCTCAGTTTCCTCACCAACAAAAAGAACAACAGTGGCAGACCCTGGCACAGGATTGGGGTCAATAACCCACGGTGATCATCCAGTGATCAGGGCGACCATTCAGTAACTCAGCATTAGGATAGTGGGGTCTTCACTCAGTCCAGTTGTCCCTGAAGCGCCACCAGAACCAAATGTCCAAATGCCCAGGAGGCACAGGGCCATGTCTTCCTTTCTATTTATTTTTTTCTCCTTTCAAGCCGTGGCAAGGAGATAAGGCCCTGAACCGAGGGGGCCTTAGGCTGGTCTTGGGGATCAGGGTCAAAAGCCAGGGCCCAGAGAGGCGCTTCCCCTCCAGCCGGGCGCGCGCCCCGCCGGCTGGAGTCTGGAGACCCCGTCCGGCTGCGGGCCTCGGGGGCCGCGGTGCGGGCTGGCGGCCAAGGGACGCGAATGAATGAACCTGCAGCCCTTCGGCCTCGTACGGTCTGGGCAGGGCCCTCGCGTCTCCACGAGTGCCCTGTCCTCTCCGTGACCTCTGACCTCGCAAACCCTTCACCTCAGACCCCCGACCCCATTCTCCGGGCGCGCCGGGCCCCCCGCTTCCTCACCGGTAAGACCACTGGTTCCTGGCGCCACAGCTCGGCTCGGCTCGGCAGCAAAATGTCCGCGGCCTCCGCCTCCCGCTCGCCCGGCGCGTCCCTGCCGCTGGCCGCTCCGAGACCCGTGGCTGTCACCTGCCGGGCGGAAGTGAGCTGCCCGCGTGAGGGAACTTCCGGTGGACGCAAGATCTGGGGGCGGGGTCAAGCGTGCTCTCCGGGCTGTGGGTGGCGCGCGAAGGCGGGGCCAGGAAAGGGGCGGAGCCGTCGGGAAGAAACTCTGCTGCAGTCGTGGCGCTGCTCCGCGGCATGAGGGAGACGAATCGATTCTGGAAATGTTGAGGGCCATCGCTTTCTTCCTGGATTACCGATGAGAGAACGGAGGTCCCGAGAGATCACTCAACTTGTGAAAGGAGGAAGCAGAACTAAAGCTGTAAATCGAGTCCAGGTTTTACTGGGTTGCCGTCGATTGCAGGCCTTAGGGAATTTGCGTCCAAGGGAACAACCAGAGCCTCCACTAGGAACCCTGGTATTGTAGTGGGCTAGCGTTCTGCTGCTAACCTTACAGTCTTCAGTTCAAAACCCCTAGCCCCTGTGAGGGCAAAAGACGAGGTTTTCTACTTTCAGAAAGATTTAGTCTCACAAACCCACAAGGGGCAGTTCTGCTGTGCTGTGCTATGTTGTGCTGTACTAAACTATGCTATACTGTGCTATGCTGGGCTAAGCTATGCTATGCTATCCTGTGCTATATGCCATGCCATGTTATGCTATGCTATGCGTCGGAACCGATTGAATGGCAGTGAGACATTTTCATCTAAGGAGAAGTTCATAAAGTCTTATTTCCCCTTTTGTTAGGTCTAGTGGGATCTTGCGAGCAGCACACCTGGCATGTAATATAAAACTACTCTTTCTTGTTTCCTGTCTACTTCAAAAATGAATTTGAAAATGCTCTAATTTCTGTAGTCCAGTTAACAGTATTATACCAATGTCCACTTCCTAGGTTTGACATTTGGGGGTCTACATCATGTAAGGTACATAACCAAACTCACTACCACGGATTCAATAGCGACCCCCTGTGAGATTCCAGGACTGTAACTGTTTACTAGAGTAGAAAGTTCAGTCTTTCTCCTGTGGAGCTGCTGGGGGGTTTGAACTGCCGACCATGAGGATTGAAGCCCAACATGCAACCACTACACCACTAGGGCTCCTGTAGGGTATATATATAAATGATTACAAGCTTAAAGGACATTATCCTTTAATCCTGTAATCATTTCAAAGTTAAAAAGAAATTGAGGCTTATTAAGGGTGTAAAATGATGTTATTGCTTGACTAATGCCAGCCAAAGTATGTTTTGTAATTCCTAACCTCTATTCTTATAGAAGGAGCCCTGGTGGCTAAGTGGGTGACTACTGAGCTAACTGCAAGGTCAGCAGTTAGAAACCACCACCCACTTCTGGGGAGAAAGATGAGGCTTTCTACTCATGTAGAGTTACAGTGTCTTCAAACAAGGAGCCATCTAAGTCAGGCATCAGTGTAAGTGCACATAGAAGAAGCACATCAGTCTATATTCCCAAGATTGTAAATAATAAAATACAAAGGAGGGAATTTAGCAGAGTTTAAATTGCAAACACCTCGTTTGCAGAAGGCTAGGAATGACAGTGGAAGCCCCAAATCCATTTGCAGGGTCCACACATGGATTAAGCTTCCCGATTATCTGCTCTGACCATAGGTGAGGGATGTGAATATCCTTATTAGACAGAGAGCATTGTATAGTTAATTTTGGCAGGCACAGTTAGATTAAAATGTAATATTTCATCTCCCTTTGGACCCATTTAAAATTTGTTCTACTTTTTAATGTTTCCAGTTTTCTTTTCGATTGAGGTCTTTCTGTTTTACTTTGTTATTGTTGTTCGTTTTTTAAAAATTGTTTTATTTTTTAATTGTTTTTCAGTATATGAAATCCAGGATGGGTAAACCTATAGAAATAGTAACTGCATTAATTGTCTCTTGGGAGTATGGCAGTGAAGGGTGGGAGGAAATGGAAAACTTATAACAATGAGCACAAGAACGACTAAAATGTTCTCAAATTCGTTGTGGTGATAATTGTACAACTCTTCTTAATATGATTGAGCTATTGAATTGTAATTTGTGAATTTATGCCAACAAAACTTTAAAATATAAAAAAGAGTTACAGTCTCTGAAGCCCATAAGGGCTACTTTGCTCTATAGGGCCACTTTAAGGAGGAAACGACTTGATGGTAGTGAGCCTGGCTTTGGTTTAGAATTATGGAAAGGATCCCTAGTGGCACTGTGGGTTAAGCACTGGGCAACGAACTGCAAGGTCAGCAGTTCAAACCCACCAGCCTTGGGGGAAATATGAGGCTGTCTGCTTCTGTAAAAGACTTACAGTCTTCGAAACCCTGTATAGGGGCTGCTAACTACAGTCTTGAAGTACAATGTTGTCTATGATACGATTATATCTGTTAACTTTCCAGGAAACCCAATCAATACAATTATTATTGAGCTTTGTGAACCAACCCCAAAATCTAGTGGTGAAGGATTCTACCGAAGTGTCTCTGCCGATCTGACTGCCTCGCAGGACTGAGGAAAAGCTCCTAAGCTCGCACCAGTCAGACCCTGAGCCTCATGATGGGCAAAGGAGACCCCAGCAAGTCGCGGGGCAAGATGCCTTCTTCATGTGGAACTCCGGGCAGAACACAAGAAGAAGCATCTGGACTCATCAGTCAACTTCACCGAGATCCCAGAAGTGTTCTGAGAGCTGGAAGACCATGTCTGCAAAGGAAAAGCCGAGGTTTGAAGATACGACCCAAAGTGACAGAGCACACTATGACAGGGAGCTGAAAAGTTCCTCCCAAAGGGGATAAGAAGGGAAAGAGCGCCAATGCCCCCAAAGGGCCACCATCTGCTTTCTTCCTGTTTTGCTCTGAACACCATTCAAAATTCAAAAGTGAACACCCAGGCCGCCCAGTGGGGATACTGCAAAAATATTGGGTGAAATATGGTCTGAACAATCAGCCAGAGATAAAGAACCATCTGAACAGAAAGCAGTCCATCTAAAGGCGAAATGACCAAAAAAAAAAAAGCATCGCTGCCTATCGTGCCAAGGGGTCAAAAGTGGAGCAGATGAAGAAGAGGCTTCCAGTAATAATGTACGTAGTGCGTGTGTGTGCTCAGGCAATTGCTTAGGTAAGAATGTGAATTCAAGTGCAGCTCAATACTAGCTTAAGCATAAAAACTGTACAGAATTTTGTATAGCTGATAAGATTCTTGGTAGAGAAAATACTTTTTTTTAATTGCTGGTTGTAGCTTTTTGAGGGGCTACTATAGAGTTAGATCTTAAGGATTCTGATGTCAAATGTTTCTAAAATATTTAATGGTTCTTTAATTTCTTGACTAATGTATGGTAGCACAGCAAACTTGTAGGATTCATATCAATAGTAAAGTTTGGGTTTTAGGATGTTTCCTTTGGTTTTCAAAAATCTGTAATAAAATTATGGAGATTAAAAAAAGAATTCTACCAATGACTTCAGTCAGAAATTGATCAAACATGCAATCAAGATGCATTGATAATTATTGGCAATTGGAACACAAACGCTGGAAACAAAGAGGAAGAAACAGTAGTTGAAAAACGTGGACTTGGTGATGGAAACACACCTGGAGCTCACATGATGTAATTTTGCAAGACCAACGACTTTTCACAGCAAACACCCTTTTCAACAACCTAACAGGTGACTAACTATACATGTGGACTTCTCCAGATGGAAAGACAGACATCAAATTGACTACATCTGTTAGAAGAGACTGTGGGGAAGCTTAATATCAGCAGCTAAAGCGAGACCAAGAGCTGACTGTGGAAAAACCATCAATTGCCCATATATAAGTTCAGGTTAAAGCTGAAGAAAATTAAAACAAGTCCATGAGAGCCAAAATATGACCTTGAGTCTATCCCGCCTACATTTCCAGAACAACTCAAGAACAGATTTGCTGCATTGAACACAAATGACAGAAGACCTGATGAACTGTGGCAGGACATCAGGAACATCATTCATGAAGGAAGTAAATTGTCATTTAAAAGACAGGAAAGAAAGAAAAGATCAATGTGGACGTCAGAGGAGACTCTGAAACTTGCTCTTGATTGTAAAGTAGCTAAAGTAAATTGGAGAAATGATAAAGTCAAAGAGCTGAATAGGAAAATTGAAAGGGCAGCTTGAGGAGACAAAGTCAACTGTTATATTGAAATGTGCAAAGACCTAGAGTTAGAAAACCAAGAAAAGGAAGAACCTGCTGGCATACCTTAATAACCTGAAATAACTCAAGAGAAATACAAGCCTCAAATAGCAATCTTGAAAGATTCTATGGGCAAAATATTGGACGACGCGGGAAGCATCAAAAGAAGATGGTAAGAATACACAGAGTCAAAAAGAACTAGCAGACATTCCACAATTTCAGAAGGTAGCATATGAGCCAGAACCAATGGTGCTGAGGCAGAAGTTCAAGTTGCACTGAAAGCATTGGCCAAAAACAAGGCTCCAAGTTGATGAAGCACTGGATGTACTTTCTAGTCTATGCCAGAAAATTTGGAAGACAGTTACTTGGCCAATTGACTGGAAGAGATCCATATTTGTACCCATTCCAAAGAAAGGTGACCCAACAGAATGCTCCAATTGTAAAACAATATCATTAATATCACATGCAAGTAAAATTCTGCTGAAGATCATCCCACAATGGTTGTAGCAGGACTGTAGCAGGATTGATAAGGAACTGTCAGAAGTCCAGGCCTGACTCCAAAGAGGACATGGAACAAGGGGTATCATTGCTGATGTCAGATGGATCTTGGCGGAAAGCAGAGAACACCAGAAAGATGTTTACTTGACTATGCTCATTGACTATGCCAAGACATTCAACTGTGTGGATAATCTTGAAATGAATGAGAATTCCAGAACACTTCATGGTGCTTATCAAAACTTTATATATAGATCAAGAGGGAGTTGTTCAGCCAAACAAAGGTAATACTACATGATTTTAAATCAAGAAAGGTGTGCATTAGCCTTGTATCCTCTCACCACACTTATTCAATCTGTATGCTGAGCAATTTATCAGAGAAGCTGGATTATATGAAGAAGAATGAGGCATGAGTATTAGAGGAAGGCTTATTAATAACCTGCAACATGCAGATGACACAACCTTGCTTGCTGAAAGTGAGGAGGACTTGAAGCACTTGCTGATGAAGATCTAGGATTATACCCTTCAGTATGGATTACAACTCAATGTAAAGAAAATCAAATCCTCACAACCAGGTGACATCATGATAAATGGAGAAAAGGTTAAAGTCGTCAAAGATTTTGACTTGCTTGGATCCACAATCACTGTTAATGGAGACAGCAATCAAGCGATCAACATATGTGTTCCATTAGGTAAATCTGCTGCACAAGACCTCTTCAGAGGATTGAAAAGCAAGGATGTTACTTTGAGGACTAAAGTGCGCCTGACCCAAGCTATGGTATTTTCAATGACATCATATGCATGTGAAGGTTGGACACTGAATGAAGAAGATGAAAGAGGAATCAATGCATTTGAGTTGTGGTGCTGAAGAAGAATATTAAAAGTATCCTGGATTGCTCAAAGGACAAACCGACCTGTCTTGGAAGAAGTGTGGCCAGAGTGCTCCTTAGAGGCAAGGATGGCGAGATTTTGTCTTCGTACTTTGGACATATTGTCAGGAAGGACCAGTCCCTGGGGAAGGACATCCTGCTTGGTAACGTGTAAGGGCAGCAGAGAAGAGGAAGCCCCTCAAGGGAATGAATTGACAGAGGCTGTACAATGGGCTCAAGCATCGGAACCATTGTGGAGCATGGTGCAAGATGGGGCCGTGTTGCCCTCTGTTGTGTTTGCTATGAGCTGAAACCAACTTGATGGCACCCAACAACAACAACATTGTCAATGTAGAGAACTGACGCGGGAGAAAGATGAGACGTTTTTGTTTTTGTTTTAGTCCAACACTTTCAATCCAGTTATTAGCAAGAATCAAGGTGCATTTACAAGAAAAGCTTTTTTATTTTTTCCCCCCACCTGTGTGGTTTTCATGGGCGTTACTTGTAAGGTGTTGAGGATGGGACCCACTCCTGAATCTTCTTTCTGGTGGTGGAATAAGGAACATAGTGTCTAGAAGGCCACTCATGTTGAATGTATGGTTGGCCTAAGGGCACCATTCCCTTGATGCTACCATCCACATCCCAGAATGCATTTCGGCCATTCATTTCAGAAACATCGGTGAGGCCAAGAAACTGCTTATTGGCTTCATAGTATCTGTTGCCATATTTGTCTTCCCCCACTAATGTACCAACCCTTACATCATTTGCCGTAAAGGAAACGCTTAAGTAGCCTTGGAGGCCGCCGTGGCCGCCCGTCTGCTGCAGCGCACCTTTCGGGACCAGCAAGTACTCCCATCTTGGCCGGCCAGGTGAGGATTCTCCCCCAGTACAGAGTTACAGTCTCAAGGGGGTGGGAGATAGGGAGGCGAGGGGACTTCAGGAGTGGACTGTGACGGCGTGAGGGAGCACTAGAACGGATCCTGATTACACAACTCATTTTAAAGGTGATTTGGCCATGGGGTGGGAAAATGTTTTAAAATTGATTGTGGTGATGATTGCACAATTCTTTTTTTTAAAATCATTTTATTAGGGGCTCATACAACTCTTATCACAATCCATACACACATCAGTTGTGTAAAGCGCATTTGTACATTCATGATTGCATAATTCTTGATACGATCGAACCATTGAACTTTTGAATGGTATGACATGTGGATTAGGTGCCAATAAAAATGTGAGAAAAAAGAAGAAAGAAAGAAACCAGCGGCTACCATGGTGAAGGAGGAAGAGTGTTTGCTTAAGGGGCATTGAGTTTGTGTTAACGATGGTGGACGAATCTGGAAAAGGGATATAATAATAGTTGCACAACATGAAGAGTATATAATCAACAGCACCAAATTCTACATGCGGAAGTTGTTGAAATAGGGAATGTTTGGCTGTGTATATATATATTTTTTGAGTATCTTTTTTAAAAATCATTTTATTAGGGGCTCATACAACTCTTATCACAATCCATACACACATCAATTGTGTAAAGCGCATTTGTACATTCATTGCCCCCTCATCATTCTCAAAACATTTCCTCT